TTCCCCCGGAGGAGCTGGAGGAAGTGTCTGGAGAGAGGGAAGTCTGGGCATCTTTGCTTAGACTGCTGCCCCCGCGACCCGGTTCCGGATAAACGGAGGAAAATGGATGGATGGACGGACTTTTACTTGAGTGCACTTTCTGGCTGTTCCATCTCAAAGATGAATAAATGATAAATGATTTTTTCTACCCAATCTGAAAAGTGAAAGTACATGGGCATGTATGATTCATGACTGAATTAATTATAACTGACATCTACTTGTGCTCTAATCAGTCTAAATCTTGTCTGAGTCTTTGTGACATAAAAAAAAGATGAATAACATACAATTAAAGAAAGTGTCCTTACTGTCATATTGCTTAAACCCATTGCTGTCCACTGGTATGACAGAATCATCCTGAGGAAACAGTGTCTGCTGTTATCACTTAATCACTCCAATCTCCAGTGTGACAGCAAAAAAGGAAAAGCAGTGACATGATTTATAGAACAGTCTACCTTAAAATACAAATCCTGAGCAATGATGCAGCTGTTGGGTATCTGCTGGTGTAGACTTGTAGAAAGAGTAGATTTCCCTCCATTGGTCATTCTGAAAGAAAAACAGAACATATCTCTGGTCATCCTTTACTCTTGTTACACTTCAGGATGTGATTACGCTAATGGGCAGGGTTAATCCATCAACTAGCCCTGTTGACATTTTACCGACATCTTTGGTTCTAAGCAAGGCTGACTTGCTTGGGCCCTGGATTATGAAACTGTTAAATCTCTCACTTGAAACAGGATCCATCCCTTGCTATTTTAAGCATGCATTTATTAATCCTATTCTTAAAAAATCGACTCTTGACCATTCTGAGCCAAAAAACTATAGGCCAATATCAAAGCTCCCTTTCATGTCAAAAATTTTGGAAAAAGCGGTAGCAGGACAGCTGATCGCTTATATGGAACAGAATAAATTATTTGACGATTTTCAGTCAGGGTTTCGTAAAATGCATTCTACTGAGACTGCCCTACTTAAAGTCTCAAACGACATAAGGATGGCCGCAGACTCTGGTCGTTATACTGTCCTCATTGTATTAGACTTGACATCTGCTTTTGACACTGTGGACCATGGAATTTTGATAAATCGCCTTCAATCGTTGGGATTTTCTGGGACTGTCCTGAGGTGGTTCTCTTCCTATCTTAGTGATCGAACTTTTAATGTGAATATTAATAACATCATGTCTGGAGTGGCTGCTTTGTCCTGTGGAGTTCCACAAGGGTCGGTCTTGGGTCCTCTTTTGTTTTTACTATATATATATCCACTGGGTCAGA